TTGGAGGCTGTAGGCAGGGCAACTCATCTGTCAGGAGCGACATCGCTCCCCACGCCCACCAGCGTGGTTCACCACATACTCCTCTGCCCGTGTTGCAGTAAGCGCGCGAACGACCCTACTTGCGCCTCTTTATTTTAGCACCGTCGACCTAGGGAACATATGATCATTGCGTGATGTTATTTTCAGTTATCGCGATACGCACTAATTGAGCGTGTTTTTCCTAACCAGTTGACTAGGTGTCTGCACTCCTGCCAACTCATGCTGCGCTAACTTATGAGCATCCTGGTTACGTTAACGGGATCTGTGGAAGGCCATGATGGAGGCTAAAGGCTAAATTTCCGCTCTAGGTGGGCCTCGAACAATGATCATTTACTCTGTGTTCATTTTAGGAAGCTTAGGAACTTTGTTGTATGTGTTCCTTCCAGGATTTTCCCTTTCTGTGGTCACAGTTCGGCAATAGTAATGTCGGACTGCAGTTCTGTGAGCTTTGGTTTTCTTTTTGTAGTCATGAGCGAAGACAGCTGTGTGAACACGTGCACCACAACAGTTGAGGCTTCTTCTGCGAATCATTCAATTCCAATGGCGGCAGTAAACGAGCTTTTTCATGAGTTTCACACTATGAGTTCACCACTTGCTTTTTCTTACTTCAAGTGACTTTCATTGAAAGACTATCCTTTTAACTTTACTTTCTCCTTGTCGTCGTTCAATCTCCTTGTCGTCCTTTCGTTCTATCACATTAATCATACGAATGCGGCAGCCAGTCCAGCGTTCAACGGCTTCGCTGACTGATGACCCGATGATACGTCCAGAAATAGAATCCAAGTTCGTTGCAAGATGAGCGGATGATGGGGTCTACAGTTGAGAGGTCGCGAATAGGGACTGTCCAACCTTCGCGGCCCGATAGTGAGCGACGGGGCGCAGCAGCCGTCATGAGCCGAAAAATTCAACTCACCCATGAAGGATAAAGGATGAAGTCTTCGCCGTTAATCAATCCCTTTGTGGGATGCGGCACGCATTCTACTTCCATTCAGAATCGTAGTGGCTTATTGAATGCGATGTGGCCTATACAATGACTTGCGGTGGCCAGCCGATGTACAAGTCAGTGTTTTATCCTCCCAGACGAATCTGGTACCAATTTACCGTACACGGAGGGTAGAAGGCTTGGTTGGCCTGGGTTTCTCACTACACCACCTACGCCTGACTCACCCATCTGATGAGGAAATATGCAGGCAGCTCAATATCTACAAACAGTTATGAGTTCCGTTTATGCTGTGTGACTTGGTCTTACTCGTTCTCCAGTTGTGTTTATCTTCTCTCATCTTTTGCCTCTGCTTTCTCTCACCCTTACAGCCGTCTTTCCTATTTCCAAAAGCTTGTCCAGTGCTGGGGCTCAATATAAGGTCCCGTTGATGGCTCGATCCACTTCTTTCTTTACAAAGGGTCAAATGATATTCACCTCTAAGGAACGATAGATGGACTCACTGCCCACGAATTGTGATTGCGTATTAGGTTTTTAAGGCTCTATTCCTGTAATCGAAAGTGGGTGTGGAGTCACGAGCACTTCCGAGTCGCAACGAAGTAGAGCTCGTAATCTGACCTTCTGAAGAAGGTTGCCTTACTTTTTGTGATTTTTCCTGTTTCATGTGGACTACTAGATACCTCCCCTCCTGGCTCGACTGCTCTATGAGGAGGGAACCAGGGGGAGGGTTTCTCACGGACTCGATTTATATCCCCAACTAATGATATGCCCGCAGCTAAATTCTGGAGAAAAGCTGGATATTTCTCAGGGATTTCCGGAAAAAAATGGAGAAAGCGGTAGGTAGGATGGGGAAGGAGGTTCGTACCTCCCGAAAATTTCCCCAGCGGCAGGACGTGCCCTGACTGTTAGTAATCATTTGTAGATTTCGATAGGGTGAAGTCTCAAACCCACGTATAGAATGGTGAAACCAAGCAATCTCACTGGAATATGACTCATTTCAGAAAGATATCCCATCAATGAGGCCCTTGAGGCGGCAATCTCTTTGAATTGCGTCATTCTGCTTCCTTTTTTTTGTGAGAAACCGGACCAAACGGCTAGTATCTCCTGCTTGCCTCTCGTCTCATTTCTTCCACATTGCCAAGCATTCGTTAGTGCTCTTGAGTTCCATTCTCCAAATGTGCTTCGCTAAAGAGCAATCAGCATTTCGCCCTTTTCTTTCCTCTTTCATCCTTTGATCATCTTCCATAAATGTTATGGCCGTACTTAGTTACGTTCTTTGCATACTTTGGAGTTGTAAGCCGCACTTGGCTGAAATGGGTCATTTCAGATTGAAATCCTAGAGATTATGTCACGATCGCCATCTGGCTCACCTCCTCCAACACCAAGCCAATCTCCAGTGCCACAGAAAGCCGGTTACCAGTCACCGCCATGTATTTGCGGTTCAGTACCGTTGGTTTCACTGTCGGCGAACACCCTTGCTGACTCGCTAGGAGTCTCGCCACTCTACAAGCAACAAGAGTACGTCATCCTTTTCGTTCAGTTCTTTTCTCTCACAATGAGCCCCTCTTTTCAATAAAAAATGACCTGTGCCCCCTTAATCAAGTACAACACTTCCTTCTGAGGACAGCGCCCGCGTTTGCCTTTCACAGGTTGTAGAGCTTAGTACTATTAGGTCATGTTGTAAGTACAACTCTAATGAAGAAAAAAGCAAAAGACCTGTTGAAAATGTCCCAAAAGGACCTTATGTACGGGACGAGTTAATCAAACTTTGAGCGAGTTCTCTAAATCTAATCGCCACTTGCTGCGACTCATTCTCCAAGGCATATTCGATAAGATTAGCAATTATCACCGCTAACGAATCTTGGTAATGAAAAAATGATCGAGGTGGAACTTGTTGACTCCGCCTTCATAGGCGGAGTCAGCTTATCGTTGCTGAGCTGTCGTGCTTTTATCAAGCGCTTTTGAGCCGCGAAAAAGGGATATCCGCTGTGACCACAAGCTCCGCCATCTTGTACTCTAAACGAAACCTCCACCTTGGTTGATCGCAGACGCTGTCTTTAAAGCGCAACTTGGTGTGCAGTGTTTCCCACCAGGATGGTTTCCAGCGTTTTGCAGTCCCAAACAGCCCGTGACCTTTGCTCCATTGTTTTCCCTTTTCTCTGTACGAGATGATCTCTGGTGTTTACCCATGCACTTTTTTCGTGCTGTGTAATAACCGCTCTCTTGTCGTGCCTGCTGAGGCTTCAAGCCTAGCAACGGGAAGCTGATTGTTTGTTTGGGACTTGAATGAGTCGTAAGTGAAAACGACAGCCATTTGTAGAGCTTCCTGACTTGGCCAAATGAGTTTGCTGGCGCTTGTGAGGCTGCAACAGAAGCTCAACATGATCGATGCCATATCGGATTCATCACACTTGAGTATTAAAACCAAGCAACTTTCGAAGGGAGGCGTGGGGGGGCGGGTTGCATGACGACTAAACCTTTTGGTGGGAGTCCTGCTGCGAAAGGCCAGAGCGCAGAGAAATAAAGAACTGCGGTTGGAGTCGAGAGATACAAAAAACATGCTGCAATCTAGGAGATGGGCTCTTTCTGAGGGAAGCGACTCCGGGATGGATGAGCCATATACTATGTGTGAAAAGCTGGAGTGCGAAAGGTGTGGGTGGCCACAGAATGCCATGCAGACGTGAAGGCGCTGAGAAAAACAGAGGTTGGCGCCAAGGGGTTGAGTTGTCCGTAGAGGGCTGCTTCTGAAACTGACTGATACACGTGAGGTAGCGCTCAGACTTCGCGATGACGCGCGTCAACGCATTGCGTCGCGCTACGACGCGTTACCACTGCAGTCGCTCCACTGCCTTAGACAGGAACGCAGTCAGCTGACCCTTAATGTTTGGAGAGGTATAGGAGAATTGGAGGATAACACATTGTGTAGTAACGGTGACGCGAGCCCTCCTGGTCTCCTATACTCTCTCAAAGCACTAGCGGCTGGCAGTTATCGAGAATTTCTCCCATAAACTATTTGAAAACGTAGTGTACGTACGATCCCCAGCGCATTCGTCACCAACTGCAAATTTTGGTGTCGAGCAAGAGGTGGACTGATTAGATCGAACCTCCAATCAGCTATTGGAAGTGAAAGTTTTGTGTGCCGCCGATTAAGGGGGTTCACATAGCACGCCTGACAAATGAGCCATCGAAACATTGAGAATGCCTCCTCTCAATGTCTATGACCCTCTCACCCCCGTAATGGGGTTCCCACCGGGGTCGGTAACAGCTAAGGATTTGTCCAAATACCACGTGAGAAGGATATGTCTCGCAATAAATCATGAAGTTTGTCATTGTTCCAAAATTCTTTTACTTCTGAAACTGATCAAGCCTTTTCCAGTTCTGCTCGATGGAATGCCGCAGCACAGGTCTATCACAACTCCCGTGCCCATTCACCGACACAGGACGGGCAATTCCAGTTCTCGCCGGAACAGATCCCTGAAAATATGTGGGTGAATCCACAGCAACTGGTCACCAATTTCATCCATAAAAGCTCGGCAGTCAGGTAAGACTTTGGTTTTCCCTCAGCTTCCAGTTTGTTGGTGTCAAAATGATATTCTGCTTGAATTTGCTCTCTTCCAGGACACCGTTATCGCTGGAGGATATCGCCAACATGAATCGACGGCGTCACACTCAGGTGCGGTTCTTAAAGGATTTCTGAGCCACTGGAACCTGAGAGATTATTCCTGGAACACGGTTTAGGAACGAAATATGTGAAGCTTCATCTGTATTTCCCCTTCCCCTCACTCCCCAATCTTTTCATCTACTACTGTCACCTCTATACCAGCTACCATCTTCCAACGTTCCAAGGCACTTTTC